CCTGGTTACGAAAAGTCAATCCTATCATTAATTGGAAAGACAAGGAATTACCAAACTCGGACAAACACTCCATCAGGATGAACCAAACAACCACGGAAACAAAAATCAGGACAACCGTAGTAAACGAAGACATGTATGAGACCATTCATAGATATGTATCCGACCAAACACCCTATCCTCGAACCATGATTCAATTAAAGGTCAACTCGGCAATGGAACACGCGCAAATACACGGAGAAAAGAAGGAGCATAACCTCCTGGATGAATATAAAGGGTATTCGGATGTCTTTGACAAAAAGAAGTCGGAAAGACTCCCCAAGCGACGGGAATATGATCATGCAATCAACATGAAACCAGAATTTGTACCAACAGATTGCAAGTTATACCCATTGGCACCAAAGGAAGACAAAGCATTAACGGAGTTCTTAACGGAAAACTACAGAAAGGGATACATCAGGCCGAGCAAGTCGCCACAGGTGTCCCCTTTCTTCTTCATCGGCAAGAAGGACGGATCACTCTGACTGTGCCAAGATTACAGAAAACTGAACGCATATACCGTGAAAGACCCCTATCCACTACCCCTGATACCCGACCTCATCGAAAAATTGAAAGGAGCCACCATCTTTACAAAACTAGATCTACATTGGGGATACAACAACGTAAGGATAAAAGAAGGAGACAAATGGAAAGCTGCGTTTAAAACCAGCAACGGAGTGTTCAAACCAACATTCATGTTCTTCGGTATGTGCAATTCACCGGCAACATTCCAAAGGCTGATGAACGACAAATTCAAAGACTACATCGATGAAGGTTGGATGATCATATACATGGATGACATCCTCATCTTTGACACCAACATTAAAAGACTCCAAATCCGAACGAAACAGGTTCTACAAAGACTACATGATAATGACCTATTCCTAAAACTAGAAAAATGCACCTCCGAAGCAGGAACCATCGAATACTTAGGAATGATTGTTTCCCACAATCAGGTATCAATGGATCCAGCCAAACTCGCTGGGATCCGCGATTGGCCAATCCCGAAAGACACCAAAGGCGTAAGGAAGTTCTTAGGTTACGGAAACTTCTACAGGAAGTTTATTGGTCATTACTCTGACCTTGCCAGACCCTTGAATGCCTTACTAGAAAAGGATAGGAAGTGGAACTGGACCCAAACTGAAGACGACACTTTCAAATTGATGAAACAAAAATTCCTTGAATCCCCCATAACACAAATTCCCGACTCCTCAAAACCGTCAAAAATTGCTGCAGACACCAGCAAACATGCCACAGGAGCTGTATTAATGCAACCCAATGACCAAGGACAATAGCACCCATGTGCATTTTTCTCCAAAACTCTATCCCCCGCTGAAAAGAACTACCAGATCTACGACAAAGAGTTATTAGCGGTAATGAGAGCTTTAAAAGAGTGGAAACACTTACTTTTGGGAAGCCCCCACACGATCCAAATCCTGACAGATCACAAGAACCTGACGTACTTGCAAGAAGCCAGGAAACTCACACCACGACAAAGGAGATGGCAGCTGGAACTGTCGCAATACAATTACACCTTGGAGCACGTACCAGGAACCCACATGGTGGTACCCGACGCACTCTCAAGAAGACCTGATTTATACGTCGAAACAGAAGGAGACAACAATGACACACCAATGATACCCGCCTCAGCGTTCCTGTATCACACACGAACAATTAAAAACACAATCGAGCAAGCCATGCTCACAAACAATAATTATCCAGGAAGAACGAAGAAAGACGATTGGAGAAAAGAAGAAGGACAGTTCTTTTATCAAAATAAATTACTGATTGACGAAGTAGAAGGACAAAAAACGATCATCAAAGATCACCACAATTCCCTGTCCGCAGGACACCCAGGAAGGCTCAAAACCTACCAGTTGATCAAAAAGGCCTATTGGTGGCCAGGAATGATGAAACAAGTGGAAGAATACGTGAAAGGATGCGCAACTTGTCAACAAGCGAAAGTAAACACGCATCCCACCACCGTACCATTAATCCCAAACCAGACCCCAAAAACCGCAGAACCAATGAAGTACCTATCCGTAGACTTCATAACTGATTTACCAGAATCTTCAGGATATGACAGTATAATGGTCGTGGTAGACCAAGGACTTAGTAAGGGGGTAATCCTCTCACCTTGTCATAAAACCATTGACGCACTCGAAACCGCACGAATCTTTCACGATTCCATCTTCAAACGATTCGGATTGCACAATAAACTCATATCTGACAGGGGACCACAGTTTGCTGTCGATGATGAGAACTGTTGTTAGAAAACCACACACAAAACAAACTAACACACAATCCTCCCAGATTCCACGGAACTTGTTTATGGGCTTTGCCTCCTAGAACAGTGGAGTGGTCTGGTTGTTCGTGGGGTGGTACGTATAAAGATCCTTCAAAGTAAAACCCAGAGGTGTATGAGTGTGGGTTTTGAGGAGGAGGGATAGTTGAATTTATAGGAAGATAGGTGCTTTGTGGCGAGTATAGACGAGCACTACCTTGCTAATGGTAGCACAAGGTAGGTTTGAGAACAACGAGGATCACGAGGTGACGAGGTTCCCAGTGATAGCAGGCTCCTGACGCACAAACTGTAGTGCTCAGAAGGACTCTAATCAAAAGGGATGACAATGACTTCAAAAGTGGGAAGTGACGATGACAGCAGTTGACAGTGGTAGAAGTGGGAAGTGTTGTGACCACACTGGATCACAAGTAGCAGAGTAGTGAACTTGTGAGTAGAGAAGAAGTCTGGATTGGAGTTCTTGTTGTTTTTTTTTTACAAGGTAAAATACAGGGGTTTATATAGTAAAAGAAAAGTAGGCTATGCACAGTATAGCTGTGCAAAAAGAATGAGAAAGAATATGAAGGAAGGAATGTACGCTGACGAATCCTGCGTAGGTAGTACAGGATAAGATTGTCAAAAAAAGGAAAAGAAAGGGATAGAACAATAAATGCTGTGAGTAATGTCACAGGTTTGTACAGCCATAAAGTAAAGTCCAATAGCAAAAAGAGAGCAGGAAAATCATGATGTCATGGGAAGATACAGTAAAAACAAAAGGGCAAGGCAAAACACTATCAGTATCAACACAGTTCCTTTATTGTCAGTCAGGCATTCTAAAAAAATATGTGTCCATAAAAATGATTCAAAAATCAAAAATAATCGCACTGTAAATGAATGTTCTGCTGAAGAAAAAGAAACTGGAGCCACCGGTCCACCACCTAGTCCAAATCTGACAGTTCCATGGCCTTACCAATGGACTGGTTATGTTGGACCACCTGATCAAACAAGGGAGGGAGAGGAGTAGTTCCAATTTGGAACAAGTGAGTCCCAGGCAGCGTATGGTAGGTGTAGCTGTAGCGAAGACGATGGACAAAAGATAAGTGTACCCAAGTGAATGGGACAGCGATGAACATGGGCGACGCAAGGGGATGAACCTTCTCCAGCTCAAAAACTACCCACCCACGCTCCAACCAGGCAAGACGAGCGACCGATGTTTTGATAGTATATGATGGCAGATCGACGTCATGAAGATGGACCTGTTGCCCTATTTGGACCGGCCGCCGGGGCTTTGCTGATATCAGCAGTGGCACGTGGTAGTCAACGGATCAGCGACGGAAGCGGATAGGAAGTGGTGACATCAGAAATGGTGGGGGTGCAAATAAGATGAGGAGGAGGAGGGTGGAGGTGACAAACAAGTGGATTAGAATGGGGACCCAGAAACGACCGTCAGGTGAGAATAAAAAGGAGAGGAAGGGGCCCATGGTGGGGCTAGGCAAAGGAAGGGGAGTAAGGGAAACGACAAAAGCGAGGGCGCAATGCAATGTGTAGCCAGTGGCGACGCGAAAATTTGCCGAAATGCCGAAACGCGGAAAGTACTGGATGGAAAAGCAAAGGTGAGCGTGACTGGATTGCCTAATAGAGGTGGTGCTGATCAGCCACAAGTTCAAAAAGGGCAATATTAATTACTATTCCACGTGGCACTGTGCCTGTGTGGCGCAAAGGCGAGTCTTTTTGAATATTCGCTTCGTTATTGACACCTGTCCATGCTACCAATCAACTTTGGTGCATGACATCGCCTCTGAAGTATCCAAAGAACTCCACAAACTCCTGAACATTGAAACCGCACTCTCCTCTGCGTATCATCCCCAGACGGATGGACAAACAGAACGATCCAATCAAGAACTGGAGATCTACCTCCGCATATTTTGCCAGAACCAACCACACAGCTGGGCAAAATACCTTACAACCGCCGAATTCTGTCACAACCAAAGACCACACTCCACAAACAACCAATCACCATTCTACCTCCTTATGGGATATGAACCCCGAGGAATCCCGACTAAACACAGATCCACGAATATCCCATCAGTGGAAAAACGATTATCCGAACTGCTTAGGGCAAGGGAAAACACCCTAAAAGCACACGAACTCGCGAGAAGCAAAATGATGAAACGAAACAACGGAAAGTTCACGTGATCGTGATTCTCCGAAGGACAAAAGGTGTGGTTAGAGAACACCAACCTGCGAGAAAAAGCTACCAAATACAAGAAGTTTAACATGAAACACATCGGACCTTTCCGCATCCAAAAAAAGATTTCCCCGGTGAACTACCGACTATCCCTGCCTCCCCATTGGAGGATACACAATGTTTTCCACGCATCCCTTCTTACGCTGTATACAGAAACCAACACTCACGGCCTGAACTTTATCCGACCGCCACCTGACCTGGTCAACAAAGAAGAGGAATACAAAGTAGAAAGTATTCTTAGACACAAACCCTGGAAATGTGGGCGCCGCTACCTGATTAAATGACGCCATTACCCTCATTCCAAAAACTCATGGGAACCGGAAGAACATTTAACCAATGCTGCGGAGATACTGGAAGCCTATAAGAAAGACCACAAGCTGTGTTGAAGAGACAATCACCCCACTACCAACAATCCTCTGTCTCTCAACACAAAACATGTCTACTTCTAACTCCACCGGCTTCCCTATCACCACCTACTCGATACCCGGCGACGCCAACTTGCTAGCCGACAAACGAGTGTCTTTCGCCCGTGGGCAACGACACAATCAAGCCAACGTCACTGACACCATATAATTAATGTCAGCAAAAGACGCCTATACCTATCTCTTTTACAAGACCGAAAAATGCTGCCCCCATGCATATCACGCTCTTTCTTCCATGCATACCTTCCTTGCCATAGACCTCATAGCTGACAAACTCCTAAAAGCCATAGACTAAATACATTCGTTGGAAAGCGAGCATTTGCGGCTCAACAGTCAGGACTTGAGTATCTGTTGGGCACTCCGGATGGAAAAGTTAGTTTTGGAATCTTTGGAACGACGCTTGAGGATGAGCTCCTCGAATGGGCAAATGGACTCGGCAAAGGAATATTTGGAATCAGGCGGGAGGACATTGCTAAACGAAGCTCGCACGCAGATAAAGCGAGACGGTTGTACAAGTACTCCTCCACCCGGTTTGTCCCTCCGGTCCCTGTCGCACCCAGACCAGACCAGTGTTACCCCAGAGCACACTTACCACATCATCACCCGTCGACCTACGCCCATCCCATCGGAGGAAAAATATATTCCCACCGTCCCAACCAGCCCGATCTCACAAGAGTTGAGCCACTCCAGTCCCCGTTCCATTGGGTCGAACCCAAAACCACCGTCTCCCCCATCATCTCCACCTCGACCAGTGCCAAACGCCCAAACCCGTCGCCTGACGAACCGACGAGGAGCCCGACATGGCCGGCAAGAGGTGATACTCCAGATCCCCGCCGCCAGAACTCCATTGAAACGGCAGTCTCATATGTCGAAGGGACAGAAAGACAGTCCGCCTGGCGCAATGCACAAGCCTAAGACTGGCTCTCCCTCCAACCCAATCAACGTAGATGACGACGCAGCCATGATCAATCAGTTGTACACAGGAACATACAACCTGGGAGATGACGATCCAACCACTTCCCAATCCAACACCTCATCCAACACCCAACAAAGATACCATGAAGGTGTTCGTAACAACGCTCCATACTGCCAAAACTGCGGTTGGAGCGATCATTGCACATACTATTGCAAAGCCTACTATTGTCCCGACTGTGACCGTCATGCACTGGGACATAGTTTCAATTGGTGTCCCATCCGCAGGGAAGACGAGGATAGGATTCTGATGGAAGGATTACATGGAGACGTCAGCTATGATGACAGTTACAATATGGACGGCGAAGGTACCGAATTTTGGTGAAACTCAAAGTGAGTAAGGGGGATCCGGACGTGATAAGGCTTCCTTTAGTGTCCTTGGAAGGTCTGTGTTAGATGGACCGGTACTTGCTATTCCAGCAAAAAATGTCTCCTCTGTATCAGATGTTTCTTCATGAACCTCAGGAGTGTTAGGTTTCTCCATGGAGTTGTCATGCTGCTCTTTTCGAGACTGTTCCTCATCTAGAGTCCTTTGATAATCTCGGTTTTTGTCTGTAGGATGGGTCTGGCGACTGCTTCTGCATACTCCTAGGGCTTCAGCAGGCATGACTGCTCTTTTAGGAACTTGTGCAGGTACTCCAAGGAGTAGACACATTTGTGTATTTGTTGCCCCACTCACTCCTGAAGGTGTTGAATCACTCCTCGGAGGTGTTGGATGACTCCTTGGAGGTATTGTATGCCTTCCAGAAGCTGATCCAATGGACAGGCTGTCTAGCTGTATTCGGACTTTTTCCACATCAGCTGGCTGTATGTTGAGGGGCTGTCCTCCCACTGACTGTAACTCTACTTTGGCTTTCCGTTCTGAAGATGGCCAGTGTTCAGGTCTTGGTTGTAGAGACTGTTGTGGAGGGTGTCTTAGCTGATCAGGTGCTCCCACTGCTCTTGGAACGTCTCCATGGAGGTATTGCCCCACTGCTCTCGGAACATCTTCATGCTGATATGGTTCCATTGCTTGTGGAACATCTCCTTGCAGATGTGGTTCCATTTGCAATTCATTTGGATCTCGGATCTGAGGAACCTCCAGGGGCCTTTCCTGACTGTCGTGCAACTTCTGCAGTGATCCGGATCTCAACTGCATCAAAGGTAAGTTTATGTTCTTCAATCGTGTTAATTACTGATGACTGAAATATTTGCCATTTAGGAGTGCATGGGAGAGATTGGAGAAGAGTGAAAGCCATGGTTTGGTATCAACTCCTAGTTCCATTCCGGAGAGGTGTGAATCAATTGTCTGGATTTTTGCAATGTGGTCCTGGATAGGTGATGTCCCATCCCAGGACAATTTGGTGAGTTGCTGGAATGAATAAAAGGCCGAGGCAATGTTGGACGTTTGATGGAGTGAGACAAGTTTATCAAATAACTCCTTGGAGCTGGTGAGGTCTCCAGTCCTCATTAGGAGGGCATCAGAGATGTGGTCCTGGATGATTCCATGTGCCTTCTCATCCTTAAGTATCCAGGTGATCTCAGGATCCTCCGAGGAGGTAGGTTTTCCTGGTGAGGGCTTAAGCTCCTCTCCAGTAACAACCCGGAGAACTTTTTCCCGACATAGCTTTGAGATGATCCGGAGTTTCCTTATCTGAAAATTGTTGGGTCCAGTGAGAACTGGACATGCGGATGTATCGCGTGCTGTGGTCATGGTTCCGAGGTTGCCATTTCAAATAAGAATTATTTCCTGCGTAGCTTTTGTGCACCAGGGCTCATAACCTAATAAACCTAAGTGAAATTCAGCCGCTGCCTGAGAGGCTATAGAAACGACTGAGGTATTCCTATACTAAACCCCCTACTACTTATAGTCGGAGGTGCTACTCGCTACAGTATAATAACTCCTAGGAGTACAATTGTGCTCCTAGGAGAACAATGGTTACTCCATGGAGTGGTGGCTATGCTCTATGGAGAACAATGGCTGCTTCGGCAGAGACCGGGTTTATCCAGTTTTGTCACACCCAATTTTGTGTTGTTGTCCCTTTGAAGGCCAAGTCAGATGTCTTTAATGCTTTCAAGAATTTCAAGGCTTATGCTGAGACTCAATTAGAGCGAAAAATCAAGGCTCTGCGTGATGACAAAGGTGGAGAGTACATCTCCGAGGAGTTTGAGCAATTCACAGATGATCATGGCATTGTCAGACAGCATACCACCTGGAATAGGCCTCAGCAGAATGGAGTTGCAGAAAGAGCAAACAGGCTTTTCTCTGAAAGAATCACTACCATGCTTTCAGAGTCTGGATTGCCTAATATCTTCTGGGGTGAATGCCTAGGTGCCTTGGTGCATGTCTGGAATAGGTGTCCCACTGATGCAGTGGTCAATGCTACTCCTTATTAATTGTGGCATGGACATAAACCAGACATATCACACCTTCGTGTTTGGGGTTGCACTGCTTATGTGCATGTGCAAAAGGATAAGAGAGGTGTTTTTGGCTCTCACATGGAGAAATGTGTGTTCATTGGTTACCCTGCTGGGTACAAGGGATGGAAATTCTATAATCCTACCTGACAAAACCGGATAAACCCGGTCTCTGCCAAAACAGCTATTGTTCTCCATGGAGTCACCATTGTTCTCCTAGGAGTCATTATACTGTAGCGAGTAGCATCTCCGACTATAAGTAGTAGGGGGTTTAGTATAGGAATACCTCAGTTGTTTCTATTAGCCTCTTGGGCAGCGGCTGAGGTATGTTACATTACATTTATTAGAGATCACCTTAAACTAACATCTATTGTAGTTTCACTTAGGTAAATAATAAAGTCATTTCTATAGCTTCTCGGGCAGCAGCTGAGTTTCACTTAGATTTGTTACTACCACCAAACGAACTATTATCTCTGAAAGAGCTGACTTTGATGAGCGCTACTTCCCTGGCTTGAAAAAGACTTCTACCACTGCCATCCCTACTCCACCTTTGCCACCTTCACTTGCCATGCCTTTGAGCCTGGATTAGGATGTCCCTGCACCAGGTCCAGGGGGAGATATTGGCCCACCAACTGTACTTCAGCAACCCCACGCATTCTGTACTCTCTGATAATATAGTTACTCATACTGGACTCTAATTCTGTCCCTGTTAGCTCTCAGAAAGTGGCTAGACACTTCCCAGAAGTTCTCAATTGAACAATATAATTCATCCTTTCGTTGTTTTCAATGATGGTCTTAAGCATAGCAGAGAGGTGTAAGTCTCAAATCAATCAAGTAGTGTCCAAATAGCAATGTTAAGAAATAATCAACAACTAAAGAATGTATGTACATGGGTGATGATATATATATGTTTCTGAAAGTCAGCCATGAGGTGCTGACTGATGTGTTACATTATAGTTCAGGCTTGGTCAGGTGACTGTAAGGTCACATGATGAGATAAGATAAATACTACTATTTGTAATGATCATGTGACAGTAAGGTAATATGATGAGATAAGATTTGGGACTTATAGATTAGATAAGACTTCTTAATGGTTCAAATTGTAACAGTTTGTCAGCAAAGAGCTTGAGACCAGCGTCTTTGGCTAATCAAAAACCCTGGGCGTCTTCCTGTCCAAACTGGCTCGCAGCACTCTGCCTTACACAAACCTCAGTCTCTTGATTATAAGACTGAGGTATGTCTGGTTATTTTACAGTTTACTTTATATAATCATACTCACTTTACACTATTAGAAATACTCTCTTTTAAGTAGATTATCCTTCAATATGAGTCTCTTGATTATAAGATTGAGAAATACTCTCTTTAAGTCTTCTCATAGCCTAACACATTCCACAGTCCAATCCCTGTGTTGAACACCGAGGCAAGGTTCAGAAGATGACACTGTCAGATAGAAAACCAAAGGGTTTACAGCAAGTCTCGGAGGAACATGGGTTCAATATTCAAAACATGCAGACAAAGTGTTCCCCTATGTGCCCAATACAATATGCACTCATGAATCTCCATGTACAATTAATGAACCAGTGGATCACATTGGTGGGACAAGTATCAAGCTGCCCAAGCATGTGTGAGGCAATGTTAAACTATAACAAAAATAATACCCGTCTCCGGCTGCACTTGCAGGGAGTAAGAGGTACAGTGAGCTTGAGGTTGACAGATGCTAGCAAATATAGCAAGTAGAGGACTTGGGAGTAAACTCAAGGGTTTCTGATGAGGAGTAAAGTGGGTAATTCAAGTAACAAAAAGCTAAAGAACTATTCATGAATGTGTAGGGCTTATATAGCTAACCGTCTATCCCTCAGACCAAAAGAGGAATAAAAGAAAAGTGGTCTGAGGAAGAAATCAACCAATAAGAAAAGGAATAACTATTGTACGACTTTTATGGATTAATCAGCAGGTGAGAGAGTGTACTAATAATAAATATTGTTACGCGTGTTAGGATCATACCTCATCACAAGGAACCGTATCCTTGTGATGAGGTACGATCCTGACTAAAGCATTTATTAATATCTCCAGGCACTGATGGGGCTTGGAGCTGGTTGGCGAGATGTCTACCACCAGTCCTTACCCATTGTGCTGGCTGGCTGGGAGTGTTACCCTGTCTCTGATCTGCAATATAAAGTGGTAATGATGGTTGAGAAAGCCTGTGAGGGCTATGAGAAGCAAAATAGCAAATGATACCTCTAGCCCTAGAGCCAGAGGTGTGATGGGAAAAGTGTCTGAGAACCAAGACATGGAACGAAAAGATAAGAACATAAGAAAATATAAATGGTCCTTACAGCATGTACTTCTTTGCTTGCTCAAAGGACTTCTTCAGAACCTCACGATATTGATATTTGCACCAACCCCAGTACTGAGATATGTTTTTAGATTGAAATAGCATCTTTACAAGCAATCAGAACTTACCATCTCAATTGGGTTGAGCTCACAGTGAAACTTTGGTAAGAAGATGCACTCGTGTCCTGCATCCTTGATAAACTTCTCAACCATTAACTGCTGGTCACAAAAGTCATCTTGCTTGCTAAGTAATTGTGCCATGCAGCAATCAGTGTTCTCTCATGGGCTGACTGGGAAAGCCGCTGCATGGGCTATACAAAAGCAGAAGTGACACCGGCAGGTGTCAGAGAGTGCCATGATGGCAATAGAGTCGTTACTGAACTGACCGACCCTCACACAAGGAGTTTAAAATATTACTGATTACGCCAAAATATTTGGCCACCCTAAAACGTCGTGGAAAAAATCTCGGAGCATTGTTTTTAGGCGTATTTTGCCATCCTGAGTATGAATCTGAGGTCAGTTTTCCGTGAAAATGTCCCGGTCCGCCACAACCTGAGTTTGGCTGTCCGGGACTGTATTGGTGCCGAGAACCTGAGGTGTGTTTTCTTGCCAAGCCTGCATCGCAACCTTTTTCATGTTTGGTCTGTCGCGGTCATGTCTCCAACACATAACCCATGGCCTCTTGCGTTTCCGTGGGATGGTAACCAGCGCGCCCCTCGTTAACCTGCGTCCATACCAAATATCCTGCATCGATGCCTGTACAAACGCTATCAAATCCGGCTCAAATCGCATAGGCGTTTCTCTTCCCACAGGAGCCGGAAAAACCACAGTATTCATCTTTCTCCTCTCCAAAATCCGCGCACCCTCTCCTCAAACGTCTAGGTCTCTCATCATTGTGAACAGCGTCGAGCTCGCACAGCAAGCAGCAGAACAAGCGAAGGCGCTATTTCCGCACTGGGACGTCGAGATTGAGCAGGGCGTGAAGTATAGGGCGTCTGGAATTGCTGATGTGTAAGTAGATTTCCTTCGTTTTGGGCTCGTTATCCTATGCGACTTATTAAATGGTATTCTGAAATGTGTTTACGTGAAGAACTGTCGCGACATATCAAACTCTACTCCAGCCTCATCGACTGGCAAAATTTGACCCTCACAATATAAAAGCAATCATTATTGACGAAGCCCATCATGCAGCTGCACCTTCGTGAGCTCTCCTCCGCATTTCTTCCTTCAGTCATCTGTTAATCTATCAATGATACGATAGTTACCGTCGAATCCTATCTCACTTTAACCCTGCAATCAAAAACCCTGACAGTACTTTCAAACCACCTGTCCTTCCTCACTCCGTTGCCATCCTCGGATTCTCAGCCACATTTAGTCGTCATGACGGTTTAGCCCTCGGCTCAGTATTTGAACGCATAGTCTACCACCGTGATTTTCTCGAGATGATCAAGGAACAGTGGTACGTCCTTGTCTGTCCTTATGTGTGATATGTAGTACATCAACCGTGAGTTGGTTTGACAATTTGGTAAAGGCTGTGTAATGTGCGCTTTACGACTGTACGCACGAACATCGACTTGAGAGATGTTACAGTAAACAGGAGAACGGGCGATTTCAACGCAGCGAGTTTGTGTAATTTTATCAACACCCCAACAGTGAACAACATCGTCGTGCAAACTTATCTCGATCGTGCACGTAAGTATATTTGCAGCGACTGCAAACGCGAATGTAGCTATCGTGTATTAATGAACTGACCCATGACATTAGAGGGCCGAAACACTACGCTCGTTTTTTGTGTTAATCTCGCACACGTACGGGAGCTTACGAGCACGTTTCGCTCCTACGGCATTGACGCACGATACCTGTATTCTGGCACACCCACTGCAGAACGTGCAGCTCTGATACAGTCCTTCAGGGAAGGAGAGTTCCCTGTTCTTGTTAACTGTGGTGCGATATCGTTTACGTTATCTCCTAAGCATATGCAGTATTGACAAGGTCTAATTTGTCACTTTCTGTGTAGCAATCTTAACAGAAGGTACGAATATCCCTTCAATCGACTGTGTCATTGTAGCCCGACCAACGCGGTCAAGGAACGTTTTTGCTCAGATGGTTAGTATTGTATGAATCGTATGAACGACCTGTTAATTACATCTCACAGATTGGTCGTGGTATGAGACAATGCCCTGACACCGGAAAAGTCGATTGTCGGATCATAGATTTCGTCGATAGCACCAGCCGCGTGGCAGGCGTAGTGTCAACGCCAACACTGTTCGGGCTTGATCCAGCAGAAATCGTGGATGGTGTTGTTTTTCGTTGTATGAATATCAACCGACAAAACTAATATGCTGTTGTTAAAGACGAAACCACCGAATCCTTAGAAGCCCGCACTTCCATCCCCTCCTCTCTTGCCACCTCTTCCTCGGATTCCCCGCCTCAACTGAGCAGCGGAGATGAGATCCCTGACCCTACTTCTGTTACTTACACCGATTATGATGATCCTTTCTCCCTGGTTGCACAGTCGTGTGGTGCGCCATGGATTAATAAGATGAGTGCGAACGCATGGGTAGGATGTGGAGCCGGTGTATATGTGCTAGAGTGCATGGGGAAAGGATTTATTAAAGTCATGCGTGTTGAAGGGGATGAGTGTAAGTCTCTTCCCTTCGTACCTTCATATCTAACTTTATTTATTTTTGGGATATCTGGATATATGCATAGTTACTCACGCATGCATCTTGCATCTTTATTTGTACAGCCGATCCCGAACATTACAAGGCAACTTATACTGAGTCCATCCCGATTCAGACTGCCATGGCTCTCAAATTATCGCCTTATTTACGCAGTAGGACGATTTTAACTGCCCAGGATCTATCTGGTGCGATTAGAGGGTGCGACACGTATGCTGTGCAAAAGGTTATTCGTGGACCTCTGGCTTTGGGGTATGTACAAGTAACAAACTTCTATGTGTCTTGGAGCATAATTTGACGATGTAAATTTTTGGCTTAGGCTGCTTCGTTCCGCGCAGTGGAGGAGGGCGCCTGCTAGCGACAGCCAGAAGCTTTTTATCCAGAAGAGGTGGACGAAGAAGTCCCGTATTGCGAACGACGACTTGGCGACAACTTTGGATTCAGATTCTGTTAAGCGGATAGATGGGCTGACGAAAGGCGAGGCTGCGAATATTATTACGCGGTTGAAGCATGGTGCTCAGGTGAGCTTTACTGGTGCCCCGGCCGATGATATCCTGACAGATGTATGAATTTCGACCTCGCAGGCTCGCTACGAAAAGAGAGCCAAAGCTGGAGAGAGGATGGCAAAGGCCCAAGATAAAGAGCTGAAGAGGAAGGCAAGAGAGGTTACGCAGGTGGGGCCACTGACGGAGTTATTATCATGATAGTGAGCATGCACGATGGCTTTTTTTGTGAGTTGAATAGTATATGCTGGAACTCCAGTAGCTATTGTAGTTTAATCAATAACGTAATAATCTGAGTAGGAACTTCATATTCTGGTGTTAAAACAAGAAATCCAATATATTACATATATATAATATTATTAACTTGCGAGCAAGGGATATCTAGCACACCCGTCTCCAAGCCTCTACACAGATAGTCAATAATCTTCGTTCCAAGCCTTTTGTGACCGGAGACTACGGTTTGTCTTGCGGGAAAGATTGAAATCTACAATGCGCCAATTATAATATCGATCGGTGTAAGGCAATTTCAGGCTTGGAAGGCCTGGCGGAAATTCTGGGGCCTTTAGTATGTTGGAAATACAGTCTGTAGGCAAGCGCTGTACGAGCCCGAAGACAGGATGTGGCGCGAGCAGATTAGGAAGGAGTTGTGATTGAGTTGGCCCGTGCGTTTTGATGGAGAAATTTTTACTTACATCTTTGCTTCCGTTTTTCTGGTGATTTATAAGTCTTCGTAGCAACCACACCCACCTCAGTATTTCCCCCCGAAAGCTGAGGTGAATATATACCTGGTTATATGTGTAGTTTAACTTTACTTACTCCTGTACCTAGCTCTTTGATTTGACTAGGTAGGACTCAAATATACCTCAGTCTTTCCCCCCGAAAGCTGAGCTCTTTGATTTGACTAGATTGTTTTAAGATAGTATGTGTGAGGAATCAATTTTTCTTATCACATTCCCATCATGTCATGGTCATCCGATTCATTCCCTGTCACTCCTCTTGCTCTTGGACTAGAGATTACAGCTGGCATTCTATTACTTGTATCCTTTTTCTTCTTATTCTCCATTCATACTCATATCCTATCGTACTTACAACGAAGGAGAACTGTTGTAGACCCTCGAGAATATATCCAAATGACATAGCAACGATCCAATGCTATGTCTGGGAATACTTCGGAGGGATATTGTCACTTTAATAATCTACTTTTACCAGGACGCCCCATCCTGGTATCCGCAACCTATTAGTCATATCCGCAACCTGTCCGCAACCTAGCTATTGTACCATGATTTTCTAAATACGTGAGGGTAAGATATGTGTCAGTCTTTACTTCTGGTCAAAAAAAAAGATATATATTAGAGGTTTTCACCATAATAGTACCAAAAGTCCAATTACACTCATGATCTCAAATGAACAGTCTGAGTGCCAAAAGGTCCAATTGAGATCATGGTCTCAAATGGACTATTTGTCACACTCAAACTGTCCGATTGAGATCAATGATTTCAAATGGACCTAGCTATTAGATCCTTGGATTACCACTCGTACTCAAAGGTTCAGACGGTTCAGACAGGGAAAGTTCAGACAGCAGAACCTCGCGACCGTATAATGGTCACATGACAGACGTATATGGGAAGCTATTCCCACGACCGAATCAGGATATAAGCCCGGGATCATGTGGCACAAACCAGGCAACAATACGGAGCCAAACAAAGACAAAAAAAATGAGATTTTCGCGATAACCACCAAGTCAAAGGGACGACAACTAGGACATATCCCCGGGATCATGTGACACGTCCCGGGCAACGATACAGAACCAAATAAAGCCAAAAAAAATGAGATTTTTGCGATGACGACCAAGTCAAAGGGGACAACAATACAAGGTCGAACGGAGCCAAACGAATGCAAAAAAAAACAAGTTTTTCACAATCATCACCAAGTCAAAGGGACGACAACCCACGACATACATGTGGCACATTCCGGGCAATAATACAGAGGCAAATAAAAACAAACAAATACGAAAAAAATGAGATATCCCCGGGATCATGTGACACATTCTAGGCCCAATACAGAGCCAAATAAAACCAAACAAAGACGAAAAAAATGAGATTTTTGCAATAAACCACCAAGTCAAAGGGACAAGTCACGACCACTACTCCAGCGATGATCAGGACAAGACATGGGCAAACAAATCCGAAAAAAAAACACAAGGTTTTTGCAAAAGTGACGACCACCCAGCCACATGTCAGTACAACGTATCAGGACACAACAAAGCAGGATTTTTGCAAAAAAAACGACCACCCAGCCGTCGAGTGAGTCATCAGAGACAACCAAGGGAACGAATAAGTCCAAACCACTGTCAGTGGGAAAGATGACAAGAGCGAACGTTCCCACCAGTCTGAGACAAGTTTACAAACACAAAACGAGTCAAAAAACGCGAAAATTCTCAGTCTCAAGATACAAGACTTGTGATAGGAAATACAAACGAATAGAGCGGTCGATAAATCCGAAAAAATAACGAGTATATCCCGTCCAAGCCCGGGATCAGTGTCAACAAAGCTCGGGTTTATAGGACACGAATCAAGGCAAAAAAAAGCAAAAACAAGACAAAAGAAAACAGGACTTTGACAAAAAAACCGGGGGGAAGTTGATCAAAGGCTCGTTAACTCAGTGTCATGGGAACGTAGAGACAAAGCCCCCCTTGGGGGGTTGGGGGGCCAGGTTAGCAGGTTAAGGGTAGGTCCCACACCAAGACAAAGGCCAAAAGAAAACAAGATTTTCGCGATCACCACCAAGTCAAAAGGACAACCACCCACGACCGACCGATATAGGACATATCCCCGGGATCATGTGAGACATTCTGGGCAATAATACAAAGCAAAATAAGGACAAACCAAGACAAAAAAAACGAGGTCTTCGCAATCAATCACCGAGTCAAGTCACTTTAATAATCTACTTTTACCAGGACGCCCCATCCTGGTATCCGCAACCTATTAGTCATATCCGCAACCTGTCCGCAACCTAGCTATTGTACCATGATTTTCTAAATACGTGAGGGTAAGATATGTGTCAGTCTTTACTTCTGGTCAAAAAAAAAGATATATATTAGAGGTTTTCACCATAATAGTACCAAAAGTCCAATTACACTCATGATCTCAAATGAACAGTCTGAGTGCCAAAAGGTCCAATTGAGATCATGGTCTCAAATGGACTATTTGTCACACTCAAACTGTCCGATTGAGATCAATGATTTCAAATGGACCTAGCTATTAGATCCTTGGATTACCACTCGTACTCAAAGGTTCAGACGGTTCAGACAGGGAAAGTTCAGACAGCAGAACCTCGCGACCGTATAATGGTCACATGACAGACGTATATGGGAAGCTATTCCCACGACCGAATCAGGATATAAGCCCGGGATCATGTGGCACAAACCAGGCAACAATACGGAGCCAAACAAAGACAAAAAAAATGAGATTTTCGCGATAACCACCAAGTCAAAGGGACGACAACTAGGACATATCCCCGGGATCATGTGACACGTCCCGGGCAACGATACAGAACCAAATAAAGCCAAAAAAAATGAGATTTTTGCGATGACGACCAAGTCAAAGGGGACAACAATACAAGGTCGAACGGAGCCAAACGAATGCAAAAAAAAACAAGTTTTTCACAATCATCACCAAGTCAAAGGGACGACAACCCACGACATACATGTGGCACATTCCGGGCAATAATACAGAGGCAAATAAAAACAAACAAATACGAAAAAAATGAGATATCCCCGGGATCATGTGACACATTCTAGGCCCAATACAGAGCCAAATAAAACCAAACAAAGACGAAAAAAATGAGATTTTTGCAATAAACCACCAAGTCAAAGGGACAAGTCACGACCACTACTCCAGCGATGATCAGGACAAGACATGGGCAAACAAATCCGAAAAAAAAACACAAGGTTTTTGCAAAAGTGACGACCACCCAGCCACATGTCAGTACAACGTATCAGGACACAACAAAGCAGGATTTTTGCAAAAAAAACGACCACCCAGCCGTCGAGTGAGTCATCAGAGACAACCAAGGGAACGAATAAGTCCAAACCACTGTCAGTGGGAAAGATGACAAGAGCGAACGTTCCCACCAGTCTGAGACAAGTTTACAAACACAAAACGAGTCAAAAAACGCGAAAATTCTCAGTCTCAAGATACAAGACTTGTGATAGGAAATACAAACGAATAGAGCGGTCGATAAATCCGAAAAAATAACGAGTATATCCCGTCCAAGCCCGGGATCAGTGTCAACAAAGCTCGGGTTTATAGGACACGAATCAAGGCAAAAAAAAGCAAAAACAAGACAAAAGAAAACAGGACTTTGACAAAAAAACCGGGGGGAAGTTGATCAAAGGCTCGTTAACTCAGTGTCATGGGAACGTAGAGACAAAGCCCCCCTTGGGGGGTTGGGGGGCCAGGTTAGCAGGTTAAGGGTAGGTCCCACACCAAGACAAAGGCCAAAAGAAAACAAGATTTTCGCGATCACCACCAAGTCAAAAGGACAACCACCCACGACCGACCGATATAGGACATATCCCCGGGATCATGTGAGACATTCTGGGCAATAATACAAAGCAAAATAAGGACAAACCAAGACAAAAAAAACGAGGTCTTCGCAATCAATCACCGAGTCAAGTCACTTTAATAATCTACTTTTACCAGGACGCCCCATCCTGGTATCCGCAACCTATTAGTCATATCCGCAACCTGTCCGCAACCTAGCTATTGTACCATGATTTTCTAAATACGTGAGGGTAAGATATGTGTCAGTCTTTACTTCTGGTCAAAAAAAAAGATATATATTAGAGGTTTTCACCATAATAGTACCAAAAGTCCAATTACACTCATGATCTCAAATGAACAGTCTGAGTGCCAAAAGGTCCAATTGAGATCATGGTCTCAAATGGACTATTTGTCACACTCAAACTGTCCGATTGAGATCAATGATTTCAAATGGACCTAGCTATTAGATCCTTGGATTACCACTCGTACTCAAAGGTTCAGACGGTTCAGACAGGGAAAGTTCAGACAGCAGAACCTCGCGACCGTATAATGGTCACATGACAGACGTATATGGGAAGCTATTCCCACGACCGAATCAGGATATAAGCCCGGGATCATGTGGCACAAACCAGGCAACAATACGGAGCCAAACAAAGACAAAAAAAATGAGATTTTCGCGATAACCACCAAGTCAAAGGGACGACAACTAGGACATATCCCCGGGATCATGTGACACGTCCCGGGCAACGATACAGAACCAAATAAAGCCAAAAAAAATGAGATTTTTGCGATGACGACCAAGTCAA